GATTTATGAAGTCAAGTGGATAAAACGTTTATATTTCCTTTGAAGACTTGTTGATTATAAATTAAATAATGTTACAATGACATTTATATTTTGATAATTATAGACTGTGATATGCCCTTTTTTAAATCTTAGTAAATTAACGTTCTAGTAAAAATGTATTTTCACTGACTAGTACATTTGTTAAAAATGTTTGACCGTAACACTGTAGTGAACGAGAACACGAGTCGGGCATTGAAATGCATTTGAAACGAAATTACAGAATATTTCAATGAAATCTGACAACCATACAATAAACGTTTAATTTACAAACTTTGAATTAATTGTCTCAATCTTGACTGTTTCTTCTGCAAATATCAGTCCATGGACTCTGATTTCATTGTTCATGCATTTTCATACCAATGGCGTTTCATTCTCGTCCTTTCCTTATCGATCTTCTACTGAAATATATTCAATGCCCGACCATTATTATATATTACTTACGTGGATATAAGTAACCCACATCACAGTATCAAGTAATGTAGTTAGAACTCTAAGATAATGTATTTGGTTTTATAACATTAACTTGTTTCAGTATCAATTAAACGTCTATCAATAAAATTTGGATTCTATCTTCTTTTCACTTTCGTCTATAGCTCCTACATACTCTTAAAACTTTTATCTTTGAATTGAACCATGAGTCTTCAATTTATTTTCAATGCTAAATTTAGCATTATGAAAATTCCCTAAAGGCAAAATAAGAAATTAATGTGAATATTTTTGAAAAACCGTGTGCATCTATAAGTAATTGTCTTAAACGATATTGAAAGGACCAAAATTGAGCTTAGTATGAATATTTCATTAATAATAAAGGTTTTTAGTTTACTTTAGGATAAAAATTGCAACCTTCACTCTTTAAATATCATCCAGTGAAATATCTCACTTCCATAGTTTGTGCCTGTGAAACTGATAAAACTATTCATTATTCATATTTTAGGGATTTATCATAGAAATTTATTTACATAATTTACCTAAACAATAACATTCTTATCTTTTGCTGACAGATTGTACCTAAAGTAAAATTCAGTGTATAGATCTGCGAATTTATTATTGTGTTATTAAGAAACAATTGAATGTGTGCTTTTAACTTAATAACTGGACATAATTTTGTGCATCGAATTATAAGTAAATTGAAGCTAGACCATCATAAAAATCCTGGGAGCACTGGACGGCCGTTTTGTCCTATTGTTGGGCTCCTCAGCAGTGCGCGTCCACGATCCCGCCTCGCGAGATTCGAACCCAGGACCTATCAATTTCGTGGATCGGTTGAAGTTGGACATTAAGACCGTTAGATGGCGGTTCAATGGTCTAGTGGTGAAACGCTCGCGCATGAGATTAATAGGTCCCGTGTTCGAATCTCACGAGGCAGGATCGTGGACGCGCACTGCTGAGGAGCCCCACAATGGGACAAAACGGCCGTCCGGTGTTTCCAGGTTTTTCATGATGTTCTAGCTTCAACTGACTGATGATTCCAACTTTAAAATTATTCAGATCTCCGCAAAAGCCCCTTTCTGGTAAGTGGACATAAATCTATTACAATTAATCCATATTTTGTATCCACGTTGAAATGCTTCGATTAAAATCTATAACAGAAATAATGAACTGTTTTGATTTCAAATAGTTTATTAATTTTGAGATGGTAAAACACTTTAATTAACTTATAATATCTTTACTAAATGGGAGTATATATGATGATAGAATTTGTTATATTTGATTTTTATTAAAATATTGAGATTGTCCACTACTTCAATCTACATTATAAATAAAAGAATATCAGTGAACATGGTTGTTTTCTTTAAACAAACTGAAGTTATGACTGAGAAAATGCCATTATCATGTTATGCTAAAATACTTAGTCCTTTAACTAAATTATATCTAATATCCTTTTTAATGATGGTATTAAAATAGCCAATGAAAATTGAAAAAAGTGAGTTTTTAATAATATATAGTCGATAATTGTTCCTGAATAGTACTGAATGTATGTCGACCATGGGCATTGTTAAATTTAGCATACCAATCATATACAATTCCATTTATTTGCTTATGATTACCTAATGTATAGAAGTATATAAAGTGACTGCCTTCAAAATGTGATTGTCAAACGGTCACTTATCATTATTACTATTATTTAAACACATGAACAATGGAACAGGCAGACACCATATAGATATGCCCCACATAAATCATTCGATTTGTGTGAGGGCTGGGATACTGTCCGGATGCCCAAACGGAACCGGGTGGTTTTCTTAGGGAGCCATACCCGGAGCCTTTGACCTAAAGGTCCAATCCACAAAGCAGTGGACTAACTTTAAGAGATGCAGTCCCATAATAGACGATGACCAATAATTGGTTCAAACACCGTTTGTTCCCTCAGAATACTGGAACCCATGTGCACCATTGATTTGGCATTAGGGTTTTCTATTTCCTCTAGGTGGATACTCCGTATCTTTAAAACCCGGTTAAAGTGCGGGACATTTGCTTTTCGTCCTTTCAATTTCGTAAACAACAGTAATGCCGCGAGATGGTAGTGAGTAGGACTTCACTGGCAGTGGTTGTATACTCGTGGTCATGTGAAAGCATGTTAAGGAAGAGAGCGGACTCTGCCCACCCTCGACCATAGCAGGGAATTCGGGGGCATAAAATAGTTATAATGAATTATCAAGTGTTCCACCAAATAGTCAGAATACTTTTGTTACTCAAATTACACATTCTATAGACTTGTATAACCTACAACACTCTTTATGCCATGAAGCTTAGCCAACGACGACCCAATATTACCTAATATTCAAAAAAACTCTTACAAAATCCGTTATGGCAATCTAAGTGATGATAGTTCAACTCATGAATAACCGAAATATGAAACACCGAAAATATTACCTTTTGTCAAAATAGTCCAATAGTCTTGAGGTTATGAATGCTAGCAATAAACTGACCATTCAGTATTTCATAGTTGCTTGTTTTAATTTTAACATCAAAAACAACTAATGAACCCTTTTGACATACTGACTATCACTTATTGCATATGCAGTTACAGTGAGAATAATGTTTTATGTCATGTTTATCAAAAGGAAAGCATTCCATTAGCTGTTCCGTAATTTTGCTTACACATTTCTACAGGTGATTGATTTACACGTTTTTATAACCGGTTGAGTAACACATTTGGTTCTTCGTAAATTTCTATTATGTCTTATTTCAATGTCATTAAAAGTTACCCTTACTTAGCTAACACTCATCATATGGCAATTACTTTTATTGATTACCTTACACTTAAGATAGTATTCATGTACCTGCAAAATGCATGGAGAAGCTCATTTTTGATGCTTCAGCCAAATAACACAGATGAATAATTATAATGTCAACGATATTACATTTCCAGTTATATAGTTTAATAATTAGCAATTTATGAGCAATATGCCTTTGGAAATATATACTTAGGATATTTATCAATCAGAGACTCGTGAAACCTTTACGACAGTGTAATATTATATTATTATGTTGCGTCATCAAGGTTCTCTTACGTTGCGAGTTATAGCTTTAAACCACCTCATGGTGGTGATTTATTACTCACTAATCCACGCATTACGGGCTTTCAACCATCCTTTATTAGTGTATTTCTACTATGTTTCGTTATTCTATTGAACCACCATGTTTTGAATTGTCAGGCTGATACTACGAAATGTGGATTATAAGAATCACTTAATTTGAGATCATTTCCTAACAATTAACTGCTTAAACTGAAAAACACAATTCTTTTACACAAAATCCCTCGTTACCGAATCAGATGATTCCTAGTAATAATCTTTACAGAATATTATTACACAACATAAATGTTGAATAAATTCTGAATAACTGCCATATAAGAAAGGGATACACTGAAAAAAACAGATGTCCGAAGTATATCAGACTGAGATAAATTTTAATCGGAATTACTTAAAGTTAAACGAACTATCCAGTGAACATATTTATGTATAATGACAATTTTTATATTCAAGCTTTCTGTACAATTAGCAACTTTGGGTGGTTTATATGTTATTTCGCTAGCTAAGATAATTTGTTTCATAACTCATATGAACACAATACATAATATATATTTATATATATGCATACAGCTAAACAACTTCCGTTTCACTAATGGAATCATGCAAGAGTGTATTATTTATTGATCATTTACTTTGAATTACTGAGCCCATGAACGTTTCTGCACATGCTTGTTAGTGATTATTTAGTTATCAGAAGGAGTTTGGTGGAAATTTTAGCAATTTTATAGAGTTCAGATCATGAGTCAATTGAAGCTAGACCACCAATGGAAAACCTGGAAGCACTGGATGACCGTTACTTCCTATTATGGGACTCCTCATCAGTGCGCATCCACGATCCCGCATTCGCGAGATTCGAATCCAGGACCTACCAGTCTCACGCCAGAGCACTTAACGGATAGACCACTAAGCCAACATCCAACGGTGTTAATGTCTAACTTCAACCGATCCACGAAATATTGATTACTTAATTACCAATCCGAAGTTGACAAACTTTACTGTGATAAATCTGCAACTCATGTTTTGTTACATTCCAAGTAGATTATCTAAATATGGTGAAAAGTGTTTAAAAGTTTGAATTAAAACTGATTACTCAATGCCTGAAATGCTTAAATTGTAGTTCCAAGGCTTCTTGTTCAGCAGCTTGGTGATAATATTAGTAGGGAACGTTTGTATACAACAAAATTCATGTTTTGGCTTCAACTATTTGAAACTGATCAAAAGATAGTAGACTTAGAAAATCTGTTCTGCTGCTGAATATTTGTTCAAAGACTGGATTTGATCGAACTAATTTTGAACTTTCACAATTTTAAAACCCGAAATTTTTATCAAGAATTATGCTTCCAGAAATGAAATGATGGTTCACTAACTTTATTTATATTGGCTGATAAATAAACATATGAAAATATACTCTCACAATTAACTCACCTGTAATGAACAATGTTGATTTCGTAGTGAATTATCCATATCTGAATTTTGTTCAGATTTACATGTACAACGACAAGTACATTTAGCAGTTTTCATATTTTGACCCGAAAATTACTCAATTTAAATATCATAAAAAATGTGTAATAATCCGTTGGAATTTAATGAAATCTCTATTCATAACCATTCTGTTATAAAAGAAGACTGTTAAAAGAATATCTCCTAAATAAAGTTCCTTTTCATTACTTTTATACTTAAATCGGTAATCATACAAATTTTGGAGTAATAACATTTATATCAGGACATTTTTATTCCTGGATTTTTGATTTGTCCAATTGTGAAGGTCACAATTATCCTAACGAATGAGAAATTTTTATTAAAATATGTATAGCGAACAAAATACATTAACTTCTGTTATATAATAAAAATATTCAGTCACTAACCACTTTTATTACGTGTATAAATTGCATATTTGGTCAGATTTATTTGAGGCACGTATATTAATTTTATTGTCTGTAATTAAATCCTACTTATTAGGAACATAGGAAAATATTTTCGATTTAATATTTCGATACAGTGACTTCTTTCTTAGTAAAATAGATTTCTTCCAGAGATTAAAAAAACCTGAGGTATCTTAAGAACTACCGATACAGCTTAGTATCATATTCCGTTATATATCCATTATATAATTTTATTGCTAGGTAGCTGCAAAACAGTACTCGGAGAATATTTTTTAAAGGGCAATTCTAATCAGTCTATTGAAAAACCAACTGCTATAATATATATTTGCTTTGGGCCTTATTACACTTTATAGTTTTATTTGTACATTGACTAGTACTTGTAGATATAGTTGTTCATGTATAGACTGAACCATGACAATCATGAACAGCGATAACAGTGTGTAACAAGCCCGTACCAATCCTGTCACATACATTGTACGAGTTAAACCATATCTAAACTTAGTAGGTCAGTGTATAACGAACTGTCCATTTAGAGCAAAAGGCAATGAATTTGAGTCATAATAAAAATCAACATTAAGATAAATTTGTCCGACTAATTTTTAACAGCAGAAAGTACGCTTTCTATATTCTGATATTAAACACTTCAGGTGTCATTCATTAATTGACAGGAGGAACTTTTATCCATATTATGTATTTTGACATTTAAATTATAAAATGCATTTATTAACATATATTAAATTTACTATTTGTTTTAAATGTATTACTAGTGGCAAATCTACAACAACGTTCTAAAAGATCTTGATACCAGGAAGGGTTTTGCGGAGATTTTCACTAATTTTATATAGTAGACATCATGAGTCAATTGAAGTTACACCAGTCCTTCCAGGTTTTCCATGATGGTCTAGCTTCAATTGACTCATGATCTTGATGCATAAACATTTTTATGAATAATTATTGAATCCAGTTAGATTGTTTTGATTAACAACATAATAATGACACATTTTATTCACTAAAAATGTATTTGCTTTAATTTATGTGTGAATGTGAAGTATCGTATGTGATTTTCAAGACATAGATTTTACATCTGTTTACAGAAACAAAGCAGCTATAAAGAAAATGGTACATCACTATGATCATATAGTTGAGAAGCACGTTCTTTTAATTCAAATATATATATATATATATATAGATAGATAGATAGATAGATAGATAGATAGATAGATAGATATAGATAGGTAGAGATAGATAGATAGGATAGATAGATGTAGATAGATAGATAGTTATATTCAAATCATCATCATTGCAACGTTGAATTAATTACAAACAAGGTTAATTCTTACCTTATTTCTATTCAGAAAAAAAAACTTTGAGGCAACATGAATTTCTTTTTTGTTGTTGCTTTAATGTCACTAAACTTTATTTCTTTATCTACGTTGATATATTGACCCACTTTCTTAATAAGGAATTTATACGACCTAGAATGTGACTTGTTCCATTAATATGTAGATCATAAAATTGCTTTATTCATTGATATCTGATAATTAAATTCATTAAAATTATTTTTCTTAATAAGTATATAGTTCCATTAATATCTTTGTAGAAATCGAAACAAGTTTAATTGTTAGAAGAATGAGAGCATTTTATTTGAGTGTTTACATAAGACAAATTGTTTGTTTATAATGAACATGTAAAAATAAATCCGTTTGATGAACTGAAGTTTGCTTTTAACAAACAGATTAGATACATTACGGTTAAAAGTGAGATTACAGGAGCGCGTTTCATCCTTTTTTTCATTCATCAACTGTGTGTGTCTCTAGTTTACTTATGATGTTCTCATTGGGACTCGAACCCAACAAATATGTTTGGAAATATGATTATGTTTAGGCAATCCTTACAGGACGCACATTTATTAGTAAAGACTGATCAAAGTTCAGCTCTTAGTATCATTCAATGAATACTTTAAATCTATCCAAATAGTTCTAACACGGTTTTATCTTATCTCAGTTACTGTTACCGATTCACTTATGATCACTCAACACTATGTAGGATATTATGAATTAATAATAGCTATATTCATAAAAGTTGTCAACTTAACTTGTTTACACGCAAATAATAAGATAAACACTTGCTCATTAGTTCGGAAAATCATAGTTTTTTTTGTTTAGCATTAGATCAAAACAACTTGCTGGGTAAACCATGATTTTTAAACTGTTGGAAAAAATATGATAAAATCTTTCGAGACCTCCACATCCTGTGACAAATATTCTCTAAAACAAATTTAACAAATGTTACACATTGTCTAATATGTATGAAATAGATGTTGTCTATTTCGTTGGAACCTGAAAGAATAATTTCTACGAAAAGATTGTTGAAACTGTGAAATTTCGATTTTAGATTCTTCAGCAATTATTCATTCTTATGTATTCAGTTGTGATCATTGAACGATTATGAAACTTAACAGTTAGAATTTAAACATGTCAAACAGAGTTATAAACTAACTACTGGGCTGTTAAACTGACTCACTACCATTTATTTATTATTGATGTTATACTTATTTTGAAAACCTATATTATTGGTGTAGGGTCTTGACGTAGAACCTGTTGAAAATGAAAAAGTTCTCGCCTAACCTGTGTTTTTAATGTCTTAGTAGAAATACTTAATGAACTGAAATATAATATTTCAAATCATAAAGTAATGATAATTAAAAATGTGGTATTACAGAGAGATTAGAACAGATCAAATGTTGTGATGTGAAAAAATGGTTTTATTTGAATGCATGATTAAGCCCTTCTTTCTAAAGGCTAAACAGTATGTGGAAAGTTTCAGCCAATCGCCTTTATAGTTGTAAGACATTCTCAAATTATTTTCATCGTTAATTTGAATAAATAATAACATGTGCTACGATTGCCGATTTAATTCATAAATCCTCGACTTCCCCACGTTTATTAAGTCTTTTTGTGTTAATGCTCCTTGATAAAAATTAAGATTCAGTGAAAAGGTTCTCCAATATAGAAACCATCACGGTTGAAAAAATTATATGTAGACGTAATTTCATGTTGATGTGAAGAGGATTTCATCGTTTATTCGAATGAATGCATTTCCAGGAATGTAATTTATTTTACAGAATGCTTCGATAACTTGTGATTTTAAGAATTACAATAGCTTTTCTGTCGTACCACAGAGGTAAAACCAATGTACCAATGCATATTTCAATCGATTTATTATCTAGTACATACCTTTTTATGAAATTTGTAAAAAAATATAAAATGGCAAAATATTTATTATCAGTATGGGATCATGGTGATTGCTGGGCTTTTGATTGAGATCATGAATTTTAGACCATCACTGAAATCCTGAAACCACTGGACAACCGTTTCTTCTTAGTATGAGACTCTTCAGCAGTGCATATCCACGGTCCTGCATGAAGGATTCGAACACAAGACTTTCGGTCTTGTGAGAGAACAGAACGGTCATCCAGTGCTTCCAGGTTTTTAACGTTGATCTAACATTCATCGGTTTATGATCTCAATCAAAAATATTCATTATAATCTACTCTCCTTTCTGTATTATCTCTTTTGAATAACCGGAAAAACTTTCGCTCTGATTGGATGTATGGAATTAAAGTTCATATACTAATTTGAATGTTACCATTTACAGTAATTAACTAGATTTATTATTCCATTTGACCTTTTTTGACCAACCAATCCTTATAAAACAGAGTTTTTACTATTCGATTAGGGAATGAAGTAATACAATCAATAAAACATATGGTTTCAACTTCTTAATTTCCAAAACAAATTAACTATCAATAATAATATTATTTTCGACATAGATTATTAAAAAAAACTGAAATTTTCATTTCATATAGTTGAGATCATGAGTCAATTAAAGCTAGACCACTATGGAAAACCTGGAAACACTGGACGGCCGTTTCGTCCTGTTGTGGTACTCCTCAGCAGTGCGCATCCACGATCCCGCCTCGCTAGATCAGGTTTTCCATGGTCGTCTAGCTTCAATTGACTCATGATCTCAATTATATGAAGTTACTAAAATCTCCACAAAATCCCCTTCTAATAATGAAATTTTTATTGTCAGAAATATTATTATTTTTTAAATTAGATTTAAATAAATCTATCACTAAACAGTATAGAAAGGTTTGGCATTTATTCTAACCTATTAAAGCTGTCAAATATATATTTATAATTCATAACAATACTACAGTAATACCCTATTGAATTATATATTGATTCAACAGAAAAAAAGGGATAATGAAAATACACTAAACAAATTTATTAATAATTAATTATTCAATTACAGTTTACAAAACAATAGATTGTTTATTTTACATTTTTTTATAGATGAGATCATGAGTCAATTAAATCTGGAAAACCATGGAAAAACTGGAAGCACTGGACGGCTGTTTCGTCCTATTGTGGGACTCCTCAGCAGTGCGCATCCACGATCCCGCCTCGCGAGATTCGAACTCAGGACCTATCAGTCTCGCTCGCGAGCGCTTAATCGATATACCACCAAGCCAGCCGGCATCCAACGGTGTTGATGTCTAACTTCAACCAATCCACGAAATTGCGCGACCAACTTCCATTGTACTGAGGTAGATACTACCTGACATGGATTAGCTCCACTGGTTACGACTTTTCACTAGGACTCTAGGAATTACCTCATTTTTCGTTAAACTTTATTAAATATTCCTTAATAATTTAATTGTTATTAACTGTTAATTGGTTGAAATCATTTCCTTCACTCCTTACGAAGTTATATTTATGTTCACATATTGTTCTCTAGAAGA